TGTAATTTTACTACTGTCATGAATCATAATGTAAATATCTGTGTTTTCTGATGGTTTGAGATGACCCCTGTAAAAGGGTCATTTGACTCTTAAAGGGGTCGTGACCCACAGCTTGAGAAACACTACCCTGGAGGCCTACAAGGCTAAGACCAGCAGGCTAACAAGAAGTGCCCGAGCCCAAATAGCTACAGAATGAGGGAAGGTGAAAAGTGGTGATGAGAAGAGAGACAGGAGAGCTGCAAGAGCCTTGGCTTCACTACTAATAAGCACCTAGTGGGACTTAATAGAGTTTTGCTAGGGGCCTTTTCTCTGTGTGAACTCGTGGGGGGTGCTTTCTTACAAAGGATAGGGGAGAATTGTCTTTAAATGTATACCTGAGGGTGGTGGTATTAGAGCTAGTGACAGTGCATGCCTTTAATCCCCACCCTTGGGAGGCAGAGGCTGGTGGATCTCTGAGTTTGAGTCTATCCTGATCTACACAGTGAGTTCCAAGACAGCCAGGGCTATGCAGAGAATGAGAGCCTGGGTTCAGTCCCCAGCACAGAGGGGTGGGGAAGCCATAATGTCTTACATAAGAGATGACAAATATTGATTCTTTTTTCTTTTCCTTCCCTCCTGCCTGGGCCAAGTGGGTTGTGCAAAATCAAGCTGACTTGTGCTGTCGTGTCAATGTTGTCATCTTTTTCAGGGTGATGGTAGTGTTTCCCTGTCACCTGTTTGGTTGCCCTTTGGCCTTGTCGTCATCTCACTGTTATTAATGTCTTCATCATTACACCCGATATTAGGTCAAAGCCGGAGAAGCAGTTATCATCTTTGCGGTTATTACTATTTGCTGTATTGCGAGCCGAACCCAGGACCTCATACAGACTGGACAAATGTTCTATCAAAGATCTATACCCTTACCGCTTCCTCTTCCTTCTCCTCCTCTTCCGTCCTCTCCTTTTAATAGAGACAGGGTCTCATAATAGCCCAGGCTGGCTTTGAACTCACTGTGTAACCAAGGCTGGCCTTGAATTTCTGCCTCAGACTCCTCACTGCTGAGATTGCAAGAGCCTACCTCCACAAGCAGCTGTTTTTATTGTTGGGATGATGCTGGCCTCAAGCCTGAGCTCCTGCCACCTCAGTCTCCTGGGTGCTAGGGTTCCTCTCATCGGGACTCACCACGTGTTCATTCCCGTGAGACAGAACTAGCCAAGGCTAAAGCCATCGATGCCACCATCAACCCTAGGGGATGTCCTTTTCTTCGGTTGGTTTTGTTTCTTTTGAGACAGGATCTCAGGCTGTACCAGTGGCCTTACGCAGCCTAGGCGAGGCTAGCTTCAAATTCACAGAGCTCCACCGGCCTCTGCCTCCCCGGTGCTGGCACTCAAGGCATATACAGTTCAGGAGCGGTGGGCACACGCCTCTGATCCCAGCGCCAGGGAGGCAGGTGCAGGCAGGTCTCTGTGAGTTGGAGGCTAGCGTGCTCTACATAGCAAGCACCAGGACAACTGGGACTACATAGAGAGCCTTGTCTCGGAAAGCAAGCAAAAAACTTACACCAATAGGTGAATGAATGAATGAATGAATGAATGAATGAATGAATGAAGTGTCTGAGCCTGTGGTTCTTAGCACTTTCACGAGGTCGTGCAGCCCTCCCCAAGGTCTTCCACGGTTCTTAGAACTGCAGGCACCGTGCGGTGGTGCGGTGTTTCCTCAGACTCAAAGCTCTTCTCCCCAGGCTGCGGCATCATCTGTTTACCTGCCAACCTGTCTTTGTTTTGGCTTCCTCTGGACGAGTAAGTGGGATCAGGCACCATGTAGTCCTTCCCTTACTCAGCATCGTCCTTAGGAGGTCTGGTCACCCCGTACACAGCAGCACCTCATTCTTTAGAGTTGAGCAACACCCTGTTTTGTGATTACATTTTGTTTATCCAAGCATCAGTTGAGGGCCACGCGGTACTTCCACCTCTAGGCTCTTGTGAACAGCACTGCCTCGTATGTTTGGTAACGTTTATATGAGGAGCCGTATTCATTTCCTTATCATTTCTTCTAGGGTGTGTGCCTAGTCTCCCGGCCCCATGCTCAGCAGGAAAGTACTTTGACACACTTAAGCCAAGATCTCAAGAGAACAAACCCTGAGCCCCAAAAATGACTGGTGAAGCTGAAAGTGTAACTCCACCCCCAAGGTCCACTTCATACATGTGCACGCTCATGTATGTGTGTGTTCTCTCTTCCTGGTGACAGGCACTGTGCTGTGTACAGCAGGGAGCGACCTAGAACATTCTTATTATCCTTTAGGAGGCTGAGAATTCCAGGTGTGCATGAAGGGAATTAAATAACTCGGGCATAACTCACTCCCTGAAGCTTCCCAAAGCATCTCATGAAGAGTCTACTCTGGTAGCATTCATTTATTTATTTAAAACATGGTCTCTTGTAACCCATGCTGGGTCACTGTGGAGCTAAGGATAGCTCTTCTAAAGTTATCTATTAAGCTTTTGTGTGTGTGTGTGTGTGTGTAGGTCAAAGGAAAACATTTTGACATGTGTTCTCTCCTTCCACTGTGGGTTCCAGGGATCAAAGTGAGGTCATCAGGTCATGTGAGAAGCACTTTTACCAGCTGAGCCATCTAACTGAGTGCTGTGACCTTGAATGTCTGACCTTTCTGCTTCTACCTCAGGAGGGCGTGAGCTACTATGCCAGGTTTCTGTGAAGCTAGGAATGGAACCCAGGCCTTCATGCATATAAATGCTCTACCAACTGAACTATATCCACAGCCCTGTATGTTGTTCATTTGAGACAGGGTCTCATGTAGCCCATGTTGGCTTTGAAAGTGCGGTGTAGGTGTAGTTCAGATTGACACTCTAGCCTCCACACTTCCCAAGTGTTGGGACTACAGGCTTACATCATGTTTGACTATTTGTCATTGTTTGGCTTCAAAAGTAACTCCTTGATTAACACTCTATGATAACACACATATAGCCCTCGGCACATCTGAGGTGCTATAGAGGAAATATTTACTACAGTCTGTGTGTCCTCCCACCTGTGCCACGTAGTGGATGACTTATCAAAGCACTGCCTTGCAGTCTGGAATCCTCAGCTCTCAGGACAGGCTGGGGCGAGCGGAGCAGGCAGTAATATGGACATGCCTTAACATTTTAAAACAAAGCCCTTTTTAGCTCCATCAAGGTCACCCCAAGCCAGAAGCTTTTGAGTTCTTGTCTCTCAATTTTGAAGGATGAAATTTATGGACCACAGAAGGTGAGGGATTTTTGGCAGGGAGGGGTCAGAGGGGAGTGCTGTAGGGAGCTGAAGAGAGTAAGAAGGCAGAGCTCCTTAGCAGCTGGTTATGTAAACATGTTTTTGTTTTAACCCCAGGTGTGGGATATCAGGCTGCTTCAGACTGTCCACAGCAGCAGACAATTTGCCTGGTGCAGGCTCTGGCAGGGGCGTGATGTTGCCAGCTGAAGATAGTTTAACTCTGGGGACTCCAGAGAGGGTATGAAAAGGCCAGGGTGCCCAGCAAAGAGGCAGGATTGTTCTTCCTGCTGCTCTGTCAAGTGGTCGAGAGAAAAGAGATGAAGAAGTTGAAATACCCTGACAAGATGAAGATTGGACTTGCTTCAAGGAACTCAATGTCCCCAACCAGCAGGAATTAGTCTAAAAAGATCTCAATGCCCCCTTTCCCCTCTAACCTTCCGTCTTTCCTACCTAGTGTTGAAGGGGGTTGTGGCGGAGAAGGGTGGTGGAGATAACCCAAATAAAATAATAAAACAAACAGGCCAACAGGAGAGGTTCCGGGAGGGAGTGGGAACGGGAGTCCAGCTCCCACTGTTTGGGAGTTAATGGCCTTTAGTGAATGGAGGAAGAAAGGAGGATGAGCTGGTCCGTCCAGTTTCATTCCAGGTGCTGAGATCATTGCAGATTGGGTCACATTCTCAGTATGGCTCTCAGGAAAGACCCACTTCCTGGCAGCCTCTGGCCATGGCAAAACCAGAAACACTTTTTGGCGTAGATGCTTCAAACATCTCTAGCCCCTGCCAAGGACAAGGCTCTGGACATGCCCAAGGATGTTTTTTGGCTTTTAGCCAAGAAAGACTGGCCATTTTTTTGTGTTTTTTACTCTAAAATGACTAGCCAGTTACCACCTGTTAGTGGCGGGCAGCTTGCCTTGGACCTACCTTTCCCGAAAGTTTCCTGAGTTCCTCAGGGCATTTCACTCAACTGGGGTTCAGTAACGGTACCTCCACTCCTGCCCTTAATTTGGAGCCTACCGGCAGAGCCCTGGAATCTACTAGACCCATAGCTTTTTTATAATGGTCGCAGGCCTGGCTATAAAATACCACGCAGTCATGGGGCCATTCCTAAGGGTTGGAGAGATCTGAGGGTGCTTGAAGGAGACCTGAGGTGGGGGGTGGAGGAATCCTATGTTCTGTCAGACCAACTAAGTCAGCCAATTTCTTTACTGGCAAACCTACCAAGCAGGAGATGGGGGAGGTTCCTACATGGTTCCTACATGGCCTGGCAGGAATTCCGGATCTCATAACATGCCTTGGAAAGAAGTTCAAGCAGGTTTTTATTATTTTTTTTCTGTCTTTTTCCTTTTCTTTTCTTTTCCTTCCTTTCCTTTTCCCTTCCTCCCTTTCTTTCAACTGGGGATTGAACCCAGGCCTTGGGCTTGATGGGCAAGAGCTCTACCACTGGGCTACAAACCCAGCCCAGTTCTAGTTTTGATTGTCTTCCTTGGTCTAAGCCCAAGCATTAAGCCACGATGGTCTGAGCTTCAGAGTTTGAGGCCAGGAGGCTCCACTGGGACGACAGCCATTTCCAGGTCGCCGATCGCGCGGGGCCTTCCCGATGAATGCAGTAGGAGATGTCACATCTTCCCGGCGCAGGGCTCCCCCAAAGGTCCCTGGAGAGCATCTCTGTGCCGGCTGGAGAGAGCGGGAGTCCGCGGTGCAGGAGTCCCGGGACGAAGGGGTGGGGCCGGAGGGTCACGTGACCAGCCATCGCAGCGGCGGGCGGAGCTGCGTGGGTACTTAGGGGTGCACCGGAGAGGCCCGCAGCGGCTCGATTCGGCTCGGCGGCAGCGGGCCTAGGCTGTCGCGCTGCGCTTGGTGAGTGTGCCCGGGGCGCAGTGGCTCCGCGGCGGAAGTCACCTTGGCTAGGGTCCGGGGGATGGGGATGGGGGTGCCGGGGGAGCGGGCCGCGCGCGGGCGGCGGTGACAGGCCCCTCGCCTGTCCAGGGCGCAGGCGCGGTTCCTCGCGGCCCTAGATGCTCCGCACCGTGGCGTGTCGCGATCCTCTAGGAGAGGAGACCTAGGCTCCTGCAGACTGGCAGAGCTCTGGGCCTTCAAGGTCTCGGGCCGGGGATGGTGATCCCGCGCGGCTCGGCTTCCCTCCGGCGGCCTTGGCGCACTCCAAGGGCGGAGCTGGGGACTTCGGGGAGCTCCGAGGGAGGAGCCTGCAGGGAAGGGTTCGGCCCTGGCTTTCCTTCCAGCCCGCAGGCTCCGGGTCTCAGGGGTGCTGGGGCGAGTATCGACCTGTATCAAGTTTGTGGCTTATTCTAAAGAGTCTGCCCCGGGAACTTTCCACACACAAACCCACGCAGTGCCTGGTACCTTAGAAGACCGGGTCTATTGAAAACAGGAACCTAACCTAGCAGTGGGTGTCTGTCGTGGAACCTGCCCGAAGAGTTAAACCGAGAAACAGGAAGACAAACAGAACGGAGTAGAGGATAGGGGCTGCGGTCCCTTTTTCTGGAGGCGGATGACCAAGATAATGGAAATGTGGTGGGGGGGCGGTGTAGGGAGACATACAGGACACCCTTCCTTCAGTAAGGGCCCTGCTGGCCCTGAGGGGGTAGCATACAAGAGGTGGGGTGGGGCATCAGGGCTGCGGACCAGGTGAATTTGACTTGGTCCCCTAGGGGCCTGAATTAAAAGACCAGCGCCCACCGACACCTTTCCTCCACCTGACCAGATCCTCTCACCTGTTGGGAAGAGAGATAGATTGTGGGGTTCAAAGGGAGGCCTAACACCTTTTGGTGTCTCGAGAAGACTTTTTCCCCAGGTGGGTCTCCTCTGGGAGGGACTGCTGCCGAGGTCTGTTCGTTTTCAGCCTGCAGATTCAGAAGGGTAGCGTGCAGAACGTTGGTGAAAGGTGCTCCCACTTCCCCTCACGGCCCTTCAAGGGAGAATTGCTTCCCATAGGTTCTGGCCATGGTGACCTAAAACTCCAGAGCTCCCAGAGGCATACCAGATCCAGTTAATCACAGCACTTGGAAGGCTGAGGTGGGAGGATCTCTGTGCATTGGAAACCAGTCTGGGCTACATAATGAATTCCAGGACCGTCTGCCTATAGGGTGAAGCTGTTTCACCTCCCAACCCTCCTTCCTTCCAGAAAACAGGCATGCTTGAAAGAAGGCAGCCTGGAGGAAGATGACCTCTGCCCCTTTAAAGACACGTGTCCCAGGCCTACAGGGACTCCATGGAGCTGGGGGGTGGGCTCACGTTTGTGCTTCCCTGGCCCAGGTGGCCTCACAGGCTTTTTAGCACTTCCCTTGGTTGTTGGATCAAGTGTTTTCAGACCAGTCAGGCAGAGGAGGGTAGAAGCTCTTAGCTCCAGGTTGAAACTGGTTCCCTGGAGATGCTGATTCAGCCATCTAGGCTGAGGCCCTTACACAGTCTGGGTGGAAACCTTAAGATGTCAAGTCTCGGGTTCACTGACTTTTGATGGTCTGATGGAAGGAAAATATTAGATGTGTGTGAGGTCTTGCTGTGTGCGATTGAACTTTTGAGAGTCGAGAAGGAAAGCAGGGACTCCGGTGGGACTGATAGGAAGGGAGTGTATGAAGGTGTGTATTGTCTTTGTCCAGCCGCCCATACCTCTGCTCCCATTGTCTTGGCATGCTCCAGGAGCTGCCTAAGAAGGAGTAGGGGCTGCATCTGGAGTGTTTTCCGTCGCTGACAGTTTCTATTCCTCCCTGCACTGAGCATGGTGGAAGTTCTTGGGGTGTAGCTCTGCTGCATGCTGAAACTCCTATCTGTCAGGCTGAGTTCCAGCCCACGGCCTTGGGCGTGCTAATCATGCCCTCTGCCATCGGACTGAATGATACCCAGCCAGCTTTAACCGGTCTCCTCCCTCCACTATCCCTCTCGGGTGGTTTTTTTTGAGACAGGTGCTGATTTATAATCCAGCCAGGCTGTGAACTGGACAGTCCTGCCTCAGCCCTCCCACGTGATAGGGCAGCTTCTGAGATCACTGTCCGCTTCCTGAGGTAGGGCTACTTAGAGCCTGAGCCTATCGATTTGGTTAGTCTAGCTATCCAGCTTGCCCCAGGAATCTCTTTTCTCTGTCAAATGCTGGGATTACAAATGCGGGCCACCAAGTCCTCATAGCATTTCCCTGGGTATTAGGAATTTAATCCCAGGTCCTTGAGACTTCACAGTAATACCTTCCCCCCCCACTGAACCATGTCCTCCAAGCCTTAGTTTCTAATTTTTAGAATTCAGGAGGTGTGTGAGATTGGGGGGACTTTATGATGAAGTGAAATCACCTGCACATCTGTGACATGATTACAGTCACTCAGATTGCTGTGGTGGAATTTGACCTAGAATTCTGTCTCCTGAAGGTGACAGATCCCTACTAAGCTATAGCCATTCAGGACCTGCTCTGTGGTCTCTTCTCATGCCTCAGTTTCCCTCTCCTGTGAAATAGAAGCCTTTTACAAGACTGGAAGGCTCTTTCCAGAACTGGCGTTTTTATATAAGCTGAATCCTGGGAAGGACCTGTGGCCTGTGATCTCAGCTTTTAACCTGTTTTTACTGGGTCAGTAATTCTATAGTATCTGGCCAAGATACTACACCTTCCCAGCAGGCTGCATGGAAGAGAGTAAGGCTGATAAGGGCCATCCACAGAACACTAGAGAACTCTTAGAGAATCTGCTCTCAGAGCAGAGTTGGCTGTCCTCTGACCCTCTGACCTGTGCTGATCTGGCCCAGGCAGGAGGTGAGCCCTCACAGGAGTCACATGTCCTTCTACCTTGCACAAGGCAGATGGTGCTGGCCAGCTTGTGCCAGTCAAAAGTCTATCAAGCCGTATCAGGATTCAGGCAGACTGCCAGTCATTCTCCACTTATTGGCCCCTTCTGGGTTTGGGGCTGTGCTTTGTTTTGATAATCAAATAGTAGAATAAACATTATATAAGGCTTTATTACAGGTAGTATGATGGTCATAATTTTTTACACTAAATAGGATACTTTTTAGGGACAGGGGGTGTTCTGAGACAGTCTTATATTCTAGGCTGGCCTCAAATTCACAGTGTAGCCAAGGATGGCATTGAGCCCCTTATCCTGCCTCTTCATGAGCTGGTGTTATAGGCATCTACCACTCACTACCTCTGGTTTAGTGGACACTGGGGGCTGAACCCAGGATGCTAAGGCAGGCACTCTGCCAGCTGAAGTATAGCCCTAGTCTCAAACCCGGATACTTTTTAAGATAAAGGTAATTACCCCGGGATACTGCGTGTTGGCTGCTGTGTGCATAGAGAGCTATAGAGTCAAGTCAGCAGTGCCAGAGGTTGTCTGGTGGCTCTGCCTGCTGCTGGTTGTTCCTAGTTTGGTACAGGGAGGCACTTCCCAAGAGTAGCTCTGTCTATCGCTTCCATAAGCCTTGAGAGGGACTACTTCTTCCAGGGACCCCAAGAAAGGAGAAGGTTCTCAGCTCACAGACAAAGCGTTTCTGCCACTTGCTTACATTGTCTGCCTGGGCCTCGGCCTGAGCAGCCTGGAGCTTAATTTAGCCTGCAATCGAATTAGGGAACAAGCTGAGATGCATAGAACACTAATCTCATTTTACATCGTAAGGTCTTTAAAAGCCTTGCCCTGTGTGTGTTCTAGAAGCAGAGCTGGGGAATATACTTACCCCACACATCTCGGAAGCAACTCTATACGGGTCTTGAGGAGCTGAGGAACAAAGCTAAAGAACAAACGTTTCTGGGAATGTGGACTGTCCAGTCAAATTGTCTTGTCTCCTACCAACAATTTAATGATGTCTCTCTTAAATGAAGGCCTGTCCTAGTTGGGATTACTGTTGCTGTGATGAAACACCATGACCAAAAGCCACTTGGGAAAGAAAGGGCTTATTTGGTTTACACTTCCACATTCTAGTCCCATCATCGAAGAAAGTCAGAACAGGAGCTCAAACAGGACTGCAGCCTAGAAGCAGGAACTGATATAGAGGCTGTGGAGGGGTGCTGCTTACTGGCTTGCTCCCCATGGCTTGCTCAGCCTGCTTTCCTATAGAACTCAAGGATGGCTCTGTGTACCATGGGTAGGCTCTCCCCCATCAATCACTAGTTAAGAAATTGCCCTGTTGGCTTGCCCACAGTCTGATCTTATGGAGGTATTATCCCAATTGAGCAGGTGAGTGTTCTGGGTCTGAATTACATCTCTAGCCTCCACTCCAGATGTGCCGAGGGTAGATGGAAGCTGTGGGCAGCCCTTATAAGCTGTTTTTTGTTCTTAAGGATCAGCCATGAATCAATTTACAGTGTCCTACCAGAGGCAGGCATGTGAAATCTGAAGCCCACATCAAAGCTGCGATTCATACTTAGCAAAAGGAGGAGTCTCTGGCCTGCAGGTCTGCTCTGCACCCCTTTGAGATTAGGACATCTGCTTTCGCTATAGCTGCCCCTGCATTGGGAGCAACTGGGCAAACCAGTCAAGAGGAAATGAAGCTCCCACGGTCTTGTTCTGTGGGTGGACTGAAGTGGTCAAAACTTGAGGAGCAGGCGCCCTTAATGACAGGCGAAGCCTAGGCAAGTCTGTTTTTATGGAAGAGAAACTCATAAAGTGCAGTGTCCTGGCCCCAGCAGGTCTTCCCATCCTCTTTTCCCACCTCCTGGTGGAGAGCCCCTCTGCACATCTATGATGCATGGTCACAGTTTGTGGCTGTGGGCAAAACATTTCATGCTTCTGATAGTTTGGAGCTGGTATGTGAGAGGTCGGCCTTGTGGTCCTTGAACCACTGTCAGGGGGAGAAGGATGTGTGTGCACTTATCTAGGACGTGGCAGGAGGCCTGTGGGACTTTTCAGGTCTACACGTTCTGACTCCTT